TGTGTCTCATTGCTTTAGACCTACAGAGTCAAAAAAGCCTTAAAAAACAAACAACTACTGGTTTAGTTTGCAGTTAGAACAATTGCTCATTATGAGACTTCAGATCAAAACCCCAGGAGTCTCACCTTATTAGTAACTCAGATCTCAGTAACGATCATTAGGGCTTCTTAAACAGAACAGAGCTGAATCAACTGAGATGATGATGACACATACGAGGAGTGAGCGCTGGGAGGGGGGGGAGCATGCGATGGGATGTAGAGGTCAGCAGTGAGGGAGCGCACGCTTCTGCGTTAATTCTGTATGACCCGCTAAAGCGCTAAAGGGCTAATCTGCTGCGCGCTCGCTGCACTACACCGCCGCGCTGTTACCGTGACAAAGCCGCGCCTCTGCTGCCACTCAGTCCGGGCACAGGATTGGAAACTTAAAGGGCAGCGCGTGACGCTCCGCCTCCCAAAATCCACCGCTTTATTAATCCGCATCAAACACAGAGCTCTGAGCTTGTCATGTCAGACGACTCGCTTACAGTGGAAAACACTGCGTAACAATAACTACCATCATCATCATCATCATCATCAAAAATGTACTCCACAGATTGCTGATTACCTGTGACCTGGGTGACCTAATCCAAAGGATTACTATCAGGATTACCACTGGGCCTTGTGGGCCTTCAGAAAAGGCCTAAAGATTTCTTAGAACTAAAAAAATTAAACGTCCGTAATTTTTTATTCATTTTTATTGATTAGAATCTTGCATTTAAACTCTGCTCTTATTACAGCACTACTCATTACTCATTGTTACGTTTTGGATGGAAACAAAAGGGTTAAATTCTTGATTCTTGGTACATATAGTTAACCGAGCTCTCCTATTGGTTAGGACTTCAGGAGCTGAAGAGAAGGCCTAAGCTATTAGCATAATTATGAACCGACAGAGGAATCAACTGACCACTTTGATTTCAGAAGAAAAAACCATGAGATAAAACATCACTCTGGAATTTCTGGAAGTTCTAGATAAGTCAGTGACTGAATACAAGTGGCAGCTTTGTGTTTAGTGTAGAAAACGCCTTTAGCTTAGCACCAACAAAGTACTAGAATCTCATGGAGATGCTAGCAGAAGCTGGCGTTATGGCAGAGATGGGTTTTTACTCATGTTTTGACACTTAATATCATCATCACTGCCTCAACCGTCATCATGACCGTAATCACATTAAGCATAACCACTATCATCATCAGGATCATCACAATGACTAACAGTAACCGACATCGCCATCATCAACCTCTCCATCGTGAGGTCATGATTACCATCTACTGTCATCACGCCCGACAGCAATGAACACCTCGGACATCATTATCACCATGAACATCTCACCATAACGGTAAGAATCATCATAATCATTATTAATAATTTTATCATCAGCACCATCTTTTACAACACACTGGCTACAGTAACTACCATCATCACCATCATCATCATCATCATCATCCAAAATGTAATCATCATCTTCATCATCATCAGCATCACACCGACTACAGTAACTACCATCATCATCATCATCATCATCATCTTGATCATTATCATCATCATCATCATCACCACACTGACTATAGTAACTACCATCATCATCATCATCATCTTGATCATCATCATCATCATCTCACCGGCTACAGTAACTACCATCATCATCATCATCATCATCATCATCATCATCATCCAAAATGTAATCATCATCATCATCATCATCATCATCATCATCATCCAAAATGTAATCATCATCATCATCATCATCATCATCATCACACCGGCTACAGTAACTACCATCATCATCATCATCATCATCCAAAATGTAATCATCTTCATCATCATCATCATCATCATCATCATCATCCAAAATGTAATCATCATCATCATCATCATCATCATCACACCGGCTACAGTAACTACCATCATCATCATCATCATCATCATCATCATCATCATCATCATCCAAAATGTAATCATCATCATCATCATCATCATCATCTAAAATGTAATCATCATCATCATCATCATCATCATCACACTGGCTACAGTAACTACCATCATCATCATCATCATCATCATCATCATCATCATCATCCAAAATGTAATCATCATCATCATCATCATCATCACACTGGCTACAGTAACTACCATCATCATCATCATCATCTTGATCATCATCATCATCATCATCTCACTGGCTACAGTAACTACCATCATCATTATCATCATCATCATCATCACCATCATCATCACACTGGCTACATTAACTACCATCATCATCATCACCATCATCATAAACATGATTATCATCACCACACACCATAACAATAACATCACCATCTTATGAAGAAGCAGAATCAGAAGAAGATGCTCAACCATAAAAACAACCACATTCCTCCGCCTAAACAACAGTAATGAACTTTGCTTTGTGAAAGCGGCTTTATGACGCCGTATCGCTCCGTCAGCTGCACTCCGGTCGCTGAGGCTGAACTCAGGAAGGCGATGTGAGATAAGAGGGAGCTTCCATTCCGGAGAAATGGCCGCGGTTTGCGCAGCGGCCGAGGAAAGGACTTTGATTCTGTGTGGGAAACACTTCCAAACTGGCAGAGTCCAGCAGGCGCTCTAATCACCGTGCTAATTACTAAAAGTAGCTTACCATTACCTTTCTTAAGCACTGATTCATTGTTTTACAGCTGGGTAGATTCCCAAAGTCTACCATCTGCACACGCACACATGCACTTATCAGAGAGATAGCGAGAGCAGGTGAAGGGTCAGTGAGAGTGATCCTCCAGTGTGGGGCAACGTGAGGCCTGACACCACAGTAGGTCAGAGCTACAGCGTGTCTTGCATTTCTCGACTGTCTGTCCGTGAATTGCGTTAGTTTGTGTACAGCGGCAGGACCGGCTACTCCACACACCACGGCCGACACTTCACAGCATACCTGCTCCGTGTTTATCCACCGCAGCTGTTTATATAAACTCACAAACTCACCCGCCATGAATACACACCAAAATCAAAACACTTATGAGTCATTTTAGCCAGATCCAAAGAGTGCCAGCCTCCCGCTCGTCTGGCTATGACATCATCACTTCATGACTGGCACTTTCATACAGAGTGTGTTTGTGAGAGTGGGTGTAAGAGGACTCTATTAAAGGGTAAGGCATTATAGTGATAATAATAATAATGATAATAATAATAATAATAACACTTTATTTGGATGGTCAACATTCAACTTAATATCTGTTAAATGCAACTGAACTTGAAGTTGCATGTGAAATCTGTCCCTAATCCTAATCCTAATCCTAATCCTGACCTCAAGGCTAAACCTACACCTACTCCTAAACCTAACCCTAACTCAAATGTTCTTCATAATCAACCAGAAGGTTTGTAAATAATATAAGAAACTGTACATCATCTATTGGGGACCCTCCAAATAAGGTGTGACCATAAAAACAATAATAATAATAATAATAATAATAATAATAATGATGATACTCCTACTAATAATAACAGAGGCATAAAAGGCAAAATAGATAGAGGCAAAAAAGTTTATTTTGCCTAAATGGGATCCAGATCTGATTTTTTCAGCAGTGTGAACGAAAAAAAAAACAGATCTTTTTAATTAATGTAAATAAACCTATACAGCTGTGCAAAAGTCAGAGACCACCTTTCCTTTATGTAATTTCCAGTCAAGCCAGCCTTCATGGCACGTTTTTTAGCATCACGGCGAAATTAAACTGAACATAATGTCACTTAATAATTAACAATAACTTATCGTTCACTCTTTGCTTTTATTACAGCTTCTGTTCAGACCTTAAAGAAATCTGTGGGGATTTTTTTTTCACTGTTCCAAAGTTCAGTCTTAGAAATTGGTTGTATTCACTGTTTGTTACGGTAAAAGTAACCCCAGGTACAAATTTGGACTCATCAGTCCATAAAATCTTATTTTTTAGCTTTCCAGTTTTGGTGTATCAGCTCAAATTAGGGGCGTTTCGACAGCTACACATCCTTTCAGACCCACAGCGCTGAGTCGTCTTCTCACAGTGGAAGGATGGACAGAAACACCTGTGGATGTTTTCAGATCTGAAGCAGCTTGATTTTCTCCTCTCTCTCAGAGATGAAAGCTTTAAGTGCTGTTTATCTGATGGGGGCAGTTTTGGTGTCTACCAGGTCTTCCAGGTGGTTGTTAGGAGACACATTTTCTCTGCAGCCTTTAATCAGTTTTTGATAGATCTATTTTATATCTAATCTCCTCAGAAATATCTCCTGAAAACTGAATAACTTTTACTTAATTACCGTTTTGACTGGAAATTACTTTTATTTTTCTGCTGCCAGTTGAGTTTTCAAATTCTTATCAGTGTAAAGTGAAACTGTCCATAATTACAGTTTAATATAATTAACATATATGTAAAATCATTAACAAATGCTGGTTCACCATCGTATTCAGGTTTAAAGTTGTTTTAAAAACCATTCACTGACTTTAATTTTATTTTAAAACATCAAATTTTTGCATTTATGCACTTGAATATGTTTACAGGTACATTTATTTCAGATCTGAAGCGGCTTGATTTTCTCCTCTCTCTCAAAGATGAAAGCTTTAAGCGCTGTTTATCTGATGGGGGCAGTTTTGGTGTCTACCAGCTCTTCCAGGTGGTTGTTAGGAGCCCCATTTTCTCTGTAGCTTTTGTTTATTTTTGATATCTTCTAAAAAAATTAAAACTTATCAGCTGATTTGTCTGAAAAGGAAACAAATCGAAGTCTCTGACTTTTGCATAGTGCGTGAAACCTTTCAGAGCAGGGGTCAGCAATCAGATCTGAGTGACAAACCAGAATCAGAAAGACTGTAAGCGTATGAAACATAAGTGGGTGGGGCTTAAGTGACGTGGGAGGTGCCAGGGAGGCTCAAGACCAGGCCCACGGGGTGGGAGGGGTTAAGTAAAGGTGTACAGGCAGGGCGTTCAGAGGAGAGAGGCGAGGCCTACCATGCTGCCGTGTAGTGCGGGCGGGCTGTCGAGGGTGCGGGGCGAGCGAGGGGACACCTTGCTGCAGTAGGAGCTCAGGGGCAAGTGAATGACAGCGTGTCCGTCAACCTCCTCATCCTCCAGTCGCTGTCTGCTCGTCGCCATGACTACCTCTCCATCTGTTCCCCCATATGGAGAGGCTGGTCGCTTGGAAGACATCCTGGAAAAAGGAGGGAGAGAGAGAGGGAGAGAGAGGGAGAGAGAGAGAGGGAGAGTGAGCATGAGGCAGGCTAGAAGAGCCACGGCGGAGACGGAGACGTGGCTGTTGTTTAATCGTGAGTGACACAGACGAGTGAGTCGGTGACACTCGCGCTCACACATGCGCAGTTAGCGACGAGCGGCCTTATCACAGATCCATCTACAGCCTTTGTTCCATCAAAGAGGTGGTCCACACCGCAGTTGTTTGCCATGCGACCGCAGCAGGCAGCGTGTTTAGCCTCCGCATGTGATGTGTGATGTTTCGAGATCCGCTTCTGAAAAACCGACCCGTGTTTATGAGCTGAAAAGCAGCTACAGGACAGCGTCTGTTCACAACAGCAGACAAAACAGCCTGTTTTAAGGACCCCTTGGTGTCACAGGTTGTGATACCTTGAGAGCAAAAAAAAGGCATTTGTTAAATGAACACTCTCTCTCTCTCTCTCTCTCTCTCTCACTCTCACTCTCACTCTCTCTCTCTCACTCTCTGGAGAAAAACGAGCAGGTTCTAGTAATGGGATTTCATCTGCTCGACAGCAGCTCCTAAGTGCTTTCAGAGGCACTTCTTAGCCTTGGAGGCTACTGCTACCATGATCCTGGATAATAAAGGTCCTTCTCGGAGAACCGAGGAGAGGAAACACAAACCTGGGCGGCGCCACCTTTTAGCACCTTTCCAGCCTCGGCAAAGTTCTCATGCGGCCGAGCCAATCAGCGTAAAGCACGTTTACTTTAATAGACAAAATAAAACAGCACCTTGACAGGAGACTTAACTTTACAGAACATCGTTAAAAAGGCAATGTCTACATACACAACACTGACGATGCATGACCGGTTCTTAGCATAGAACGATGGTTATTCAAGGGTGATTTAGTAAGGAAGAATGGTTCTATATAGAACCATGAACACTCAAAGAACACTTTGCATGTAGATAGTTATAAATAGAGGCCTTTCGCCCCACAACTGGTTCTTCTATTGCAACAAGCTTGACATCGTAACAGTAGCAGAACCCTTTTTGGTGCTATACAGAATCCTTTTCAAAAAGGTTCCGTACAGAGCCATCTACAGCACATTCTCCATCATTCTGAAGAAACATCTCACCTTGTAAAGAACACTTTAATCATGCAAATGGTTATTTGAGTGTTGATGGTTCTACATAGAACCGTTTTCTTTACTAAAGAACCCTTGAAGAACCATCCTTTTTAAGTGTGTGGTTGAACGATTTCTCTTCATCACCTGAACAATGGTTCTGTGTAGTGCCAAAAAGGTTTCTGCTACAAAGAACATTAAAAAAAGATAGTTCTTCAAGGGTTCTTTAGTACAGACTATGGTTCTATATAGAACCATGAACACTCAAATAACCCTTTGCATGATCAAAGGGTTCTTTACAAGGTGAAATGGTTCTTCAGATTGATGGAGAATAAAAAACTGTGCGGTAGATGGTTCTATATCGCACCAAAATAGGTTCTTCTATTGTAACATGCTTGACATTGTAACAGTAGCAGAACCCTTTTTGATGCTATATAGAGCTCTTTTCATAAACATATACAACACATTCTCCATCAATCTGAAGAACTCTTTCATGACGCAAAGAACCCTTTAATCATGCAAATGTTTCTTTAAGTGTTCCTGGTTCTACATAGGACCATTTTCTTTACTAAAGAACCCTTGAAGAACATTTTTAAGTGTGTAGTTGAACGATTCCTCTCCATGACATGAATAATGGTTCTATATAGTGCCAAAAAGGTTTCTGCTGTCATTACAAAGAAGGTTTTTTTCTCCCACACACACTCTTAAAAAATTTTCAGGGGTTCTGTAGTAAAGACTACAGTTCTATACAGAACCATGAACACTCAAAGAACCATTTGCCTGCTTCAATCGTTCTTTACATGGTGAGATGGTTCTTCAGACTAATGGAGAATGCGTTGTATATGGCGCTATATGGAACTTTTTTTTGCCCTTACTAAAGAACCCTTGAAGAACCATCTTTTTTAAGAACGTAGAGCATCTTTACCAGCGCATTTCTTAAAACAAGCACAATTATCTGCCAGTATAATTTTACTTTAAAAGATAAAACGACTTAAAACAGGTAAAAAATGTTTGGAAATAAGTTAGATAATCTTAAATTAAGCCTAAAACAATATCAGCGTTAGAAATATTAGATTTAATTACTAGATTTAAGATCATTTTATTTGACAAGACACCATTTTTGCAGTGTAAGCTCTATGTTTACTTTAGGTCAGCAGGGCGAGAAACATTACAAGCAGCAAAAGCGAAAGCAAACAAGCGTTCAACTTAGATAAGCTAAGCTATCCAGTCATATGACGTATAATAACCATAGGCAACAATGTGTGCATTAAGAATACGGTAGGTGGGGTAAAGAGTGACGCCGCAGGTCAATGCCTGCCAGTATGAGCTCACGCTCTGAAACCACACTACACGCCTGAGCAAAGAGCCTGAAGTGTGAAGCGTGTGAGTTTGAGGTACAATGTGAGTTTTCTGTGTTTGGGTGTACTTGAACTGAGGTATATGCCTATATGTAGGTGCATTGTGTGCGTGTGTGTGTGTGTGTTATGGTGGGGGGCTGGGCTGTGCTGGTTCACACTGGGGCAGTAAAAGCAGTGGCTGCAGCTGTATAAACTCTGAACCACACAGCCTGTCTGCAACTCCACCACCATCTGTTTATTCTGCCTCCTTTCATTCTCACACACTGAGCCCTTTTGTTTCACTCCCAACACACACACACCTCAGTCCTGCTCGGTCTCCTTAGAACCCCCCCCAGCAGCACACACACACTCCAGGTCAGGCAGTGGGGAACCTTCGAGGCCTGCTAGGTCTTCAGAGAAAGGCCTAATGATATTATATATTGCAAGGACTGCAGTAATGCACTTATTTCACTGTTAAGTTGGTTTGGAAACAAAAGTGTTAAATTCTAAATATTGAAAATTATCCACAGTTTCTTTTTCTGTGTTATCTAGGTAGATACAAGCGAGCTCTCCCATTGGTTAGAACTTCAGGAGCTGAACCGAAGGCCTTACACTTCAAATTCTGTGACAGAAAAGGCCTTCTGGAAGTTCTAGATACGTCTCTAGCTGTGAATACAAGCCATATTCTAACAATGTTACAGGAATGGAAAGAGTGGCAGCAGCTCTGTGCTCTGTTTACTGAAAGACTAACTGTGAAACTGATACATAAGAAGGCGTAACTTTGGGCTGAACACCGGAGAGGTTCAGCAGGACCTTCTGCAGGGGTCCAGGGTTCTGCCGCCATGGGAACAAGATGGTGAAAGCTATTAAACAGCTTTTGGAAATGGAAAAAATAAGGATCTAAACTCGCCACATGAATTCCAACCTAAATATGCAGTAATCTCAATGCTTGGTCTAATATAGGCTGAAAACAGTCCTTGTCTCAAGCTGTAGGGTGTACTGGCACATGTCGGGTCCAACCGTGGTCAATCATTTCAGCTGGGTTTGACAGTGACAAGTTGTAGATGTTGACGCTTTTTTGACACTAAAAAGTTTTTAACTATGGGGAGACCAAACAGTTACATTTAAACTAACATTTCACTGCTGCCGGAAGAAAACCTCATATCTTCATTTTGACGTTTTTCAGTTTTTGACATAATTTAAAAATGCCTGATGCCCTTTACATTGTGTGTAAATTTCACAATGAATGAACTAAAAGAAATTGCCAAAATTGACTTGGACAAAAAGTCTGGTTCCATTGACTTACATTAAAGTTACAATTTTGGAGATACGAGGTTTTGTTCTGATATTTGAAATATTGTAATGTTTTCTTCAGTATTTTATCAATAAAAACAATTTTTTGTGTCTACTTAATAAAATAATTATTATCAATATTAACTACTGGAAGGGTTATATAGCCAGATCATAATTGAGGCCTTAATTTTAATGCACCAAAAAAACAACATATCTCTGCTGTCGGAAGAAAACCTTGTATCTCTTATTTTTGTCATTTTTCAGTTTTTGACAAAATTTGAAAATACCTGTTGCTCTTTACATTTTGTGTAAATTTCATGATGATTAGACCAAAAGAAACGACCCAAAATGACTTGGAAAAAATTCTGTTTCCATTGACTTACATTATAAGTAAAGCATGTTTTCCCTTCTCCTGTAAAGTTACCATTTTGGAGATACGAGGTTTTGTTCCGACAACAGCGATATGTGACGTTGATTGTAAAAATTATATAATCATTGTAAGAATTTTGAATAAAGGGGTCACTAAACCATAAATAAAGCATAGTTTGGCTCTTTAACGTAAAAAATAAGTGCTTATATGGTGTTTACCTCTGCTCACAAGCACATTCAGTAATTCTGGAGCGCTGGCAAAAGACAGGGACAGGCAAAAAACTCCTACAAGCTAAAATACATGTTAATGTCTGTTATAAGCTTCAAATAAAACAGACAAGTTTCAAATGTCTGTGTTTAATCTAGACTAAACAGCTATGAGAATCACTGTTAGCTACTAGAATCCCATAGGTGTGCTAGCGGAAATTAGCTTTAGGTGTTTTTACCTCGTTTTTTGACCAAGTTCTAGCATTTATGGCCCAAACTGAAGGCCTAGCTCCGATAGTCAGGAATGTACACACACACATACACATATATACACACACACACACACATACACATCACCACTCCAACACCACTGCAGCCCAAACACTATTTATATACACTCTCCATTCAGGTGAATGGGCTTTCTTCAGAGGTGTGAGCTTCCGCAGAGAATGAGGCTCGATTTTTCTGCTTGTAACAGTCCAACAGAGCTCTATCTGCACACACACTCACACTCACGCTCACACACACTCCACTTCCTGTTCGGCCCACTGACACAAGCCTTTCACAGTTCCTCTTGAGCAATAAAATGTCTATTTTCCTCCAAGCCTTTGAAGTATAATTACTATACAATTCCGCTCCCCGGGTGAGCAGGTTATAGCAGCTATTTCATTTA